CTTTATACATTTTATCTTTAACATTTAGATATGGATATCAGAAACTAAAAATAACCGAAACATTGAATAGATATTCCTATAAATATTCCTACGTAACTATAATTTAAATTGTACCGAAACTTGGCAAAAGACTATACGGCAATAAATTCAGCATATCTGCAGTCAATAGGCCAGTTTCGGCGGTTACGTAATGCGCGGTTACTGTAACCAAGCCCGACAAGCTTTGTCAAATCGCCATTTTGAATCTGTGCATTGTGTATTAGACTGTCGGTTCTTGCCGTTAAATTGCATTCATATCTTTCTATCAAAACTGCGTGTACATATATGAATTTCTGTTCTGGCCGGAAATGTCTTCCAACTTGCCATTCATCAAGCTGATTTTCAGGCAGCTGCAATATTTTCTAAGAAAAAGAGGAGTTTCGACTACGGTATACACCCGAGAAAAGACTCGTTAAATTAGCGTCCGCAGTAGCGGACTAGCCTGCCCGTAGCCCCTGACCTACGGGGTCCGTGTCACTCGGTAGACGTGACTGTATGGGGAAATTACAACGGGCAGGATTTTCGTTGAGTGAACTAGTTACATACCTCCCTTAAGTTTGACGATATTCCTGAATTTGGGACCTATGACGTATTCAATTATCTAGTAGAGAATATGGCGAACCATGCATTTATGATCGTCGAAGACTGAAGGCTTTTAAGAGTTTTGAAGACTTTCGATTGATATTTCCCGATGGCCATTATGTGGCCTGGAGAAGCTCGAGTACAATCCTCCCTCTAGTAGCTCTCGGCAGCTTATGATAGCGACTTGTGACTAGATTATACAGGTCAAACCGACGCAAAAAGACAGAACATACCAACTTGAACAAAAAGAAAAAATATATAAATAATAAACAAACACAAAGTAGAAGTCTAGACTAGATCTAATAGAAAATGTAATAACAGTTTTATTTTAAAATGTTTTTTTTAAATAATAATAATAATTGCTTCTTGAAGTTGAATAACGAAGGTCCGGCATTTATTGTAGTCTAATACTAGACTATTAACTTTTATTTTATGAAACTCAAACTTAATTCCTAATCTTATTCTAAACAATAAAATTATTCATCATCCTGATGCTTCATCCTTGCCATCATAAGGTTTTTTATTATTACTTTTATTATTCCCTTTTTCCATTGCTCTATCATTCTTTTTCCTTGTTCATTGTTTTTCTTCATTTTTTCCGTTCAAAATTATTTGTTTATCATTATTCATCATTCTTATTCTAGCTCTCTGTCATCGGACGATATTATTTTATAAATATTATTTTATTAACAAAGACCTTATATATTATATTATTACCTTAATTGTCATTATTTCTCGTCGCTTTGTTAATAATATTGATTCTGCGGTCAGTGCTTGCTTCTCGTTAGCCGTTTCTCGTCCGCCTTGAAATAGTCAATTTGGAATAATTATTCAGTACATGCAATTTTTTTTTTTTTTTTTTCAGTTTATACCCATACGTTGACTTTTTTTATAATTATATTATATATTTTTATATTTGGATGTATAGTTTACTTGATTGATCATTGCAGTTTTTTCACTTCTTCACTTTCTTTCTTTTTCCCTCTCTTACTCCCTGTTCTTGTCTATTCAAGTTTATGTTGTTTCCCCCTTTTTCTTGTAATGATTTATTTGTAATATGATATACCTGAATGATTTGTAATGTTTTTGTATTAATGATCTACATGTATTTCTATTCATAATTTATCAATTTCATTGTACTGAATTTAATAATGTTCATAATTATGTTGAAAATGTATGTATTATTATCAATCCAACCCTTGGTTGCTATGAATGAATAAAAATATAAAAAAATAGTCCGTATCGAGGCGTTTCACAAACATTTTTTAATCCGTAAAATTGTTTTCATTTTGAAAATGTGAATCGCGCCTACACGAACACGAACACGTGGTACGCGCGCACGCTTCTGCAAGCAGAGGTGACTGTGTGTGCGAACGAGTGGAAAATAGTTCATCACTTCTTTCATTTCTACGTCCTATAATTTGTACTCAGATTCAAGCTAAGGTAAATGCAAAATTGAATGGAAATTACCGATACCGGCTAGCTAACTTATATTTTGGTGCTTCGCTTTCTGTTTCATCACTGGCTTTCAAGCCAATATCGCTTGTATCATCGACCTCGTTTTTCTTCTTTTTGAGGGGGTATCGTGCGCTGCCTGTATCGGGGACTTGGCCGAACAGGTTTAGCTGCAAGATGTGAATCGCTAGTTTTGTACCAGCACTGCTTTTCTATTATTCTTGCCTAAGACTCAGCGATTTCAAAGATCAAATGTATGAAGAACAAAATCACATCTCAAAGATATTTATTATTCAAGTTTGGAACTGCCTCCTTTTTCTTCTCTCTCTCTCTCTCTCAAAATAGCGAAAACAAACCATACAATCACACCTAGCGAACACAGTCATGTATGGTATGCACGCCAAGTGTAGTCTGCTACGCACCGCGAGTTCTTTGCTTGTCCGACCATCCGATTACGTAATGCGATTTAAAGGTCTCTGAATACATTACGAAACTGGCCTATTGCAGCATCAAATGCTACGTATGGGACTGACTTTTGTTACACATCGGGACGTGGGTATCACGGAGAAATATCGGCTTTAAAGAATAAAAAAAAAAGAAAGTTGCGTAAAACATTATATAATCCGTAGAATCATATGTGGAACGTTCGAAATAGGCTTCATATTTTATCGACACGACCGCATAATGTCATATTGTCGATTTTACGGACATATTTTTCATATCATTGCAGTACGAAGCAGCGAGCACTTGTGCATCGTCTGTGCATCGTCTTGTGCGCATGGGCATGAGACGAGCACGAGACGAACATGTGACCGTTTCAGGCGGACTTTCGCTTATACGCACGAATACAAATTACGAGTCTTGCTGGGGCAAAATGGCAATCCAGACACCCAAAACTATTATTAAAATTCGGGCGTTGTTATAAATATATTTCGGAATTTTACTTTTGATTGTTATAAATGATGAAATAACTGACCTATATACAATGTTGCATTTTAATCGGACGAAATCTTCAGGTGAAAAATTGGCGGTAAAAACTTCACATGGCTCCAGAATCTAAACCCATTGATGGATTTTGATGCAACAAACTCCGAAGTTTTCCGAAGATCTATATTTTATGTAAATGAGCTTGGATATATATTTGACCAATCAGGAGCCTCCGCATCCTTTCCTAAACACCCCGTAAACCAAATCCGACTCTGGGATTCCCCGAATAATTGAACACTTTACTGTGCCGCATTTTTCGAAATGGCTGACTGTCACATAAATGTAAATGATGGAGGTTCAAACTATTGCTCTAACGTAAAAACGGGATAATCTACAGAGCTGATTCTTTCGGTATATTATAGGCCTAATTAAATATTGAAAAAGAATATATTTTAATCTTGGCTGAATATTACGAAAATTAAGTATAAAAATCGCAATTTAGAAATCACAATCCCAAAGTTTTTGAACAAATGTTATGCTCTGTGTCAGTGTGTGTGGGAAGCAAAGTTGATCAGTTGGACTTTTGCGGAGTGCTGAATTTTTCACATTTTCAACAAAACCGGGCGGTTTTAGAAGCTGTCATTTACAAGCTAGTACTAGGGTGTCTGAACGATTTTTCAATTTTCAATTTGGGATCGTTTTTCACCATTTTTGTTTGATATTTGAATTAAAAATGTAATCAGAATAATACATTTCAAATTTCAAGTCTCGCCGATGTTTCTATCAAAAGATACAGCCCCTTCAAAATGCTGAAATATTCATAGCATTTTGCTCAGAATCGACGAAAAAGACGTACACGCAGAGTTATGTTGTTTTGCTAAATTTAGCCAAACAGCTGTATCGCGCGATATGCAAGCGTATGCATATCGTACGCAAGTTGCTCAGCCAATGCGCGACTTGCAAGCTTGAGCCACGCTGTCTCCGCGATATGTGCCATTGACTAGTATGGGTGGCCGTTCCCGCTATAGAACCCGGAAGTGAATACACGTTGTAGTCAATGGCAATATCGCGGAGACAATCTCCGCGATATTGCCATTGACTACAACGTGTATTCACTTCCGGGTTCTATGGCGAGAATCGGCCACCCATACTTTCATTCACTATAAGCGCACATGTTACGATGTAACCATGGTTTGGACTGAGCGGAGCTCACGCCTCCCTAATTAGCTGATTCCAAAAATGTGGGAAGGGTATTTTCAAACTGTTATAACAAATGATCCCTTGGGGCTAGCGAAAAAAAAAGCATCTGGATATTATCCTTACGTCTAGCCCTGCTTAAGCCGCGGGGCGGCAGCTCAGGAAAGTGGCAAATTTTGGAGCTAGGATGCAAACAACATTTCAATCGCTGTTTTGACCAAGATATTTTTAGAATTCTGGGGGTGGCCCCCGATGGGGAATATGGAGAAAAACCTGCTCTTTCATATGACACCTCATTTATTGAGTTTCACCTTCAGGATCATTTGTTATAAAGGTTTGAATTTCAAATTTTTTCATAAAATCATTGACCAATTTTGGATGGTCGCGCAATGCACGTAGACCACATAGGGAAGCGTACAATCTCTATGGGAAGGGTTTTAGCACACAACATTGGGTGCGCGATCAGACACCCTACTAGTACAAAGAGATATCATTAGAAAACATATCCAAAAATCAGGGATGTGCGATGTTCAGAACGAAAATGGTGGTATTTCTTAAACTTGTATTGTTTTACTTGTTGTGCATAAGGCGCTGTGTGTGGCGAGATCGGTCAACGCATTTTGTTACGTAACTGTACTGCCTAGCCCTAGAAGGATCTGGAAATATGGAGCTCCACTGCGCCGCATTCGGCGGTGGCGGAGCTCCCTTAGCCCTGGCCTGGCCTGGCCTGACATACTCGCACCTCCACTAGACTAGTCTATGATCTACTCGAGTTACTAGTACCCTATTATGCTACACACCTTTTTAAGACGCCGGTCTTGATCTTGATGTTTTTCACTCTTGGATCAGCCATTTTCAAGATGTGATTGTAAGTACAAGCGGCTTATCCAGTAGAAAAAGTTAACGACTCTCCTGATCCTTTTACTTCAGTTTTAGCACCTTTTAATTATGCAAGCGATTTGTGCGCGCGTTTTGTTTTACATTACGAGCTCGGGGAATTCTTTTTTTTAACAATTTGGCTTTTACGGCTGGAAAGTAGAGCCTAACTTGTTCCTTCCGCCGTCAAAATACGTTTGCAGTTTGCTAGTTAGACTCTTGCGCCAGCATCTTTAAATGAAGCAGTGATGAATATTGCCTAGGCTGTCGTGTAAAACGGAAAAGTGTCGCCTTCAGCCTGAAGTAACCAGAAAACATGTATTAAGAAGGTACTCACAGGTATGGTGTTGCACAAACACCGACTCAGTGCGACATCTTTTTTTCCTCCGATTATCAATTTAATTTTCTTTCGAAACTAAACAAATTTGCTGCATCTTTTTCTGCACTGGAAAGGGGATCGTGATTTCTAAAGTCATTCTCCAGTGCACATACTGAGATGTGTTGTGTCCACACTGTACAGTCCCCTAAGATTGGGCAAGATTGACTTTAAGAACATATGTTGGGTTTCAGATAATATTTCCGAATTCTATAGACAAACAAATGAAACAATACATGTTTAGAAGGCCTATATATTAGAGGCCGATGGTATTTAACAAAACAAAATACTATCGAATCCGGAGTAATCGGACATGCAATGATAAAAAATGAACTATAAGCATTTTTTTTTTGTGTGGAAAGTTTGTATATGTTATGATTTGATTTCTTAATAAACACATAAATAAAATAAAAAGCAATGGAATATATTATCGTAGTTTCTCGGTGTTAAAACAATGATGAAAATTGGATAAGAAGATGAATTAAAAGAATAGAATATAAAACCCTATAAGTAGAGTGACACCCCTTGGCTATATTATGGGGGAATGATGTGCAAATATTAGCCGTAACAATTACTAACCACACCCTCTCTCTCTCTCTCTCTCTCTCTCTCAGCTCTCCGGCTCTCTCTCGTCTCTCTCTCTCTCTCTCTCTCTCTCTCTCTCTCTCTCTCTCTCTCTCAGTTCTCTCGATCTCTCCCCTCTCTCTCTCTCTCTCTCTCTCTCTCTCTCTCTCCTCGCTCTATTTCTCTCTCTCACCCTCAGGCTCTCTCTCTCTCTCCCTTTCTCTCTCAGTTCTCTCTCTCTCTCTCTCTCTCTCTCTCTCTCTCTCTCTCTCTCTCTCTCTCTCTCAGTTCTCTCGATCTCCCACCTCTTTCTCTCTGACTCTCACTTAGTTACTAGATTTGATAAGCATTGATCCAATAATATTTTTACATTCAATTATAAACATGATACAAATATACAGACATTTATATCCATGTAACAACAAAAGATCAAAGAAGAAATCAAATATGGATCATCCGGAATAGAAAACATCAGCGATCGCCAAACTTACCCCCCCCCCCCCCTACTCCAGAAGAAAAACAACAGATTTCAGTAAGCGTTCTATCATCCGCTAAACTGCTTAAATATAGGAATATTTTCTAAAATTTCTGAAATTAAGCGCCATTTTTCACTGTGCCTATCTAGTTTTGTTGCGTCTTTCAGTAAACTTTCCTATACCGTCTGAAAATATTCAACATATCCAAAATGATGGACGTTGGGCATGATTCTGTATTCCTGCACCTAACGATATATTGCTTTCCTAACAAAAGCAGGAAATTAATTACGTTTCTTACTTTGACAAGCTTGGTCAGGACAAAACCAACTGGGAGAGAGAGTTCCGGAACTGAAGCTCTGCTTGGGCGTAACCAAAACTGTTCGATTAAACTTTACATGAAACAAAACAAAAAAAATATACGAAACTGTTCATTTAAACGTTTAGCAAAGTCCAAACAAAAATCATATTTCTATATATGATTACAGTTATTTTTATGTGTCGTCGATACAGAAAATCTATACAAATATTGATCATACTTACCGCGGCTCACATCAGAACGTGGAAACGTCTCTCCATGTTTTCTGAGTAATCACCACCAGCCTCTATAATTTTATAGCCATCCTTTGATGATGATGATTCAAATGATTGAAGAATAAGAATCGCAACCCCACTAAAAAAAATCTCTCTTCATCCTTCCCCAACTCCTTTCTCTCCTCTCCCCTCTCGACAAAGATAGGACCATAATTTCTCTTGATAGATTTTTAAAAATGTTGAAGAGATATAATAATTTCATCCTTTTTAATATTCCCATGAATAGAAACAAAGCTGATTTGCATTATACGCGTATTTCTGCGATATATTATTATGGATCATGACGCCTGTTCACATGGGTGTCGATCCTTACGTAATACCTATTGTTCGGGGGGGGGGGGAGTGAAAGCAGGCGCGGATCCAGGATTTCTAAGGGGAGGGGGCCCAACTTTGTTATTTTTTTTGCTCCCGAAAATTTGAAAATCGCGCCGGCCGAAAAGTCGCTCAGTGGGGGGTGGGGGGGGGGGGGGGTACAGAGCACAATATTTTTTTCTTTTTCTTTTTCCGACCAAAAATTCGCTCAGTGGGGGGGGGGGGGGGGGGTGAGCACATTTTTTTTTTTTGATCCTCAAAAAAAAATTCAATTTGCACCCCCCCCCCCCTTGAGCGCCAGGGGGGGGGGCCAACCCCCCCAAAAAGGTAAAAATCACGTGATTTTACATGATTTTTTTCTCAAGGGGGGGGGCCCGGGCCCTCGGCCCCCCCCCCCCTGGATCCGCCACTGGGTGAAAGATCATCCCCCCTGAACAATAGGTATCAATTACAGATCGACACCCATGCCTGTTCATGCAAGCATAGATATCTAGGCCTAAGGCAATTCAGTTCAGGGGGCCGAATAGCTCCCAGAGATAAAAAGAGATGTAAAGTTCTGAGGGCAAATATATCTGTGCGGAGAAAACAAACTCCAGAATCAAGTCCACGCCCTTTACACAGGTACAGCACATCATTTGGTTATGCAGTATAGTAATTGTCAGTATTTTCCGTGTCACGAGCTGTATATAACAACTCTAGATGCTGAACAGGCGTTGATGAGTATCACCATGGAAGTAGAAATAGAAGAAAAGAATAAGAAACATTCTCAACTATCTCAGTCATTTTCATGAACATTCTCCTTCAGTGATATGATCATGAATAACTTTCAAGTTTATTCAGTTCCGAACTGCATAAATCCAGTGTGTATATTAAATCAATGATTTCACTGCAATTTTTTTGCATACTTTCAGTCTTGTTCTTGTAAAGAAAAAACGCAACAAAAATTAGATTCCATGACATTTGCTCCGGCGACAATTGCTCCGCTGTAAATTTCATACACTAATCGAATGGCTAACTTCAACCCTGGATTCAACACTATACCCTACCCTAAACCTAACCCTAAACCTAACATAGAACCCTATTGAAACCCTAACCCTAACCCTACATCTTAGACGAAATAAAGCCCGGAGCAATTGTCGCAGGAGCAAATGTCGTGTCACCCAAAAATTACACTTTCTCAATTAGGTTTCATGTGTATGCTATTTCTTTCTAAATCATGATATAATATAATGTACTACACTTTACTTTAGCCTAGTACTTCTGGGTTTCTCGTAATATTATGGACCAGTTTCTATCAAACATAGCATTCTCTAGATTTTCAACTTCCATACAGTCATGTAGGCCTACTACATCATTTAACAAACCGCATGTCTCCCCCTCCCTGCAATTGGTTTCTACACTGACCCAGCAACTACACCATACACTCTAGATTCAAATAGTGTATTTCAGTCTAAATATTCAGTTTTCACGTTGCCATCATAAACAACTATCATGGCGGACGGAGGAGGGTCGGGAAATCCGACATCCCGTCTAAATAACAAGAAGTCTTTTGAATATAAAATGTCAAAGAAGGTTTCGGAGCTTACACAGGTTGTTCATATGCTGTTTTCTCGAAATCACGAGAGAGAGGTAGAGTTGGAATCGACAAAAGAAGCCTACGAGCAAGAGATTTTAAACGTGATCGCGGACGCGAAAAAACGGATCGAAGCCCTTGAACACGATTTAGCAGAAGCGAAAAGAAAGGCGCAAACGAATGCCATTAGCATTGAGCAGGACTATGGCAAAAAATTGAATGAATATAAGGAAAAGAGTGAAAAACATTTTTTGGAAATTCGAGAAAAGAATGCAGCACTTTTGAAGGAGATAGCAAGTCTCAAAGAGGATATTGTCAAGTTAGAGAATGAAGTGGAGATCAATAAAGAGAAGGCCATGAAGGCTCATTTTATGACAAGTAGATCTACAGATCAATCTGGAGTAAATAGTGTTGACCTTGAGGTGACATCCCCAAGACCAAACGGAGCATCAGATCCTGCAGACCTTAATAAACTCAAAGAAGAACTGAAGGTCAAAGAAATAGAAAATGAAAATTTGAAACACATGGTTGCAATGAATGTTCAAACACAAAGGGAGGGTGACAAAGCAATTGCACAGTTCAAAAAGGATTTAGATAAAACTGAGAGCGAGCTGAGGTTGAGAATTTCTAAACTAATAGAAGATGCAACTCATTCAAATAAAGCCAAGGAGATGGCACAGAAGAAGAGTAAGATGCTGGAAACGGACATTAAACATCTGAAAACGAAGCTGCAGGATAAAAAGAAGGAAACTGCATCCAATGAAACAAAACAAAGGCGGAGCAGTGATGGAAGCTCAATAGTGTCTAGATCATCAGGATCATCAAAAAGTCTATCTGAAGTGTCAAGCGTGAGTCCTTTCAAGCGATCAAGTGTTAATGTTTTTAGTTTCAGCATGATTGATATATGAAATCAGATATTTACTTTACTTTTTACTTTACTTTAATCCAGAGATGCTATAGGAATATGCCTGTTCATCGATCGCAGATGTCTTCTTCAGTGGTTATAGGGTCTACATTATCCTTGCCAAGTGAGAAAGGACACAAACGTGTGCAAAATTGCAATATCAGTTTATACAGCTTATAGGCTCATACTAGACAAGATCATGGTTTTAAGGCCAGTATTTGTCTAGTCTATTCTTAAAAAGTGCCTTTTTTTCTAACACTTAAATTTTATCTCACCTTGTGAATTGAATCGAGACATGATATCAATTAATATGAAGATGATGTAATTTTGTTTTCCTATACCAATTTTTATGGCAGGATTCCCAAGAAGAAATTGAGAGGCTACGGAAGGAGATTAAATGGTACCGTATGGAGCTTAGCAATAGAGAAGGAAATTTCAATCGTATGTTTGCAGACTCCAATCCAATTAGGCTAGGAGGAATGACGGTAGCAGGACCAAGTCTTGCAATGGCCAGACCTAGGCCTGACCAATCAGTCATGGTATGGATAATACTTGCCTTATATTTGTACGAGTGGTTGTTTAACTTGTTTTTGTGCATTTCTGGGGAACTTTTTTTTTCCCTCTCATACTTGTCATGTATCACATCCTCATTATTTTCTCATTCAATTATGTTCTTCTAATTTCTTCTTTCTTTCTTCTATTTATTTTCCTGCTCTGTACATGTAGATGTATACTCCACTATGGTTCTTATTGATGATATAGTTTTTATACTGATATTATTCAATTCACTTACATGTATTATAGTATACACATGAGAGATATATATCATATACTTACTGTTTGCAATATCAGTTAAAACGGCAAAGAAGGTGTATGGTATTGGATATCATATATGATTTTATGGTGTTATCTTATTCTAAATATTTGAGAACTAACTTATTTTCTGAATCATTTTTTAATGTATATTTTTAATTAATAGCTGAAATAATCAAGTATCAATTAAAGTATTTTCACACCAAATGAAATTTGCATCTTTTTCATGCTCTTTTGATGGAGCTCATTGTTATCGAGGAAAAATTGTGCAACTACTCATTTAATTGAGTGCTAATTACATCATTCATCAGTTATCTGCAGTAACATAAACTGCAATTGTTTTGCTTTCCTTTGACATCTAATGATAATATTCCTATGTCCAGGTTTCTTGGAACCTTGTCACATGCATAGAATCTGAACGTAGTGTGTTTACAATCAAACACAAACTAAGATGATATATAATACTCCCCATTCTAAGGCAATTATCTCTTTATTTGTATGTTGTACTTTGTCACGTCCTTGTAATCTGATACTTACATAATCTTTAATCATATATCTTCTTTAGGTCGGCCACGTATAAAACCATTAAATGGTCACTTCCTTTCTGGCTGCTATCTATCAAGCAACTTTTATATTGTTGTACCAATGTATATATATGTATTTTATTCTTTTCATGTAACAATTTATATTTCTAAGTCTGTATGTTACTTTTTAATTGCTTTGGTGAAATAAATTGAATTCAATTAATGGAATCAACTTTTTTGTTTTGTTTTGGTGGTTCAGACAACGTCTGGATCACTCTCCTCTCGTTCTGAAGATGGATCGCACAAATCCAGGTCACTACCTAACCGATTACCAACCCTAGGTATGGATGGGAGGCAGAGAGAACGCAACAAACCAGGTCAAAACTCAAAGGGAGCAGGGGTCAAAGGGTCATCGTCATCAGTTAAGGAGAAGAATACAGTCAAGAGTATAAGTGGATATAGCTGATTAGAAGTAAAGATATCTTCTTCATATTCTTTTTGTTGTTACTCCATGTTTCTATATCACCATCAGGCAACTTTTATGAAGGTAACACTTTGTGAATGACTCTTCAGTTCTGCAGGAATATTTCTGATAAACATGATTTTAATAGCCCACCTTTGATAGATTTTAGCATATATATGTATATATGAGAGTAAGTGTTTTACTCTATAGATAGATAATTGCCTTACTTTTCTAATGATTTTATTCAATTCCTTAAGGAAAATGGAACGTTAGATTTCATGTATGGTTTGTAAAGATTATTTAGCTGAGAACTAGAAGGGCATTACCTCATATTTCCACCTACAGTTAACACCTTTCTGGCTCTCGGCAGAGGATTTTGTAAGATACACTGTATGTTTCTTACATTTCTTTGATCTCACAAAGTCAAGTCTTGAAATCTTTTGTCATACGTGTAAGTAACCCAATGTAGGCCATAGCCAGTATTAATATGAAAAGTATAAAAACATGCAAAACTTCTTCTGGCATTTTCTAGGCGTACTAACATTTACTTTTGTTTTTAAAGTTGAAAAGGATACATACAGTAAGTAACATGTATATAACTTGAATTCTCTTCATTTTCCCTGGGCTTTGCTCAACAGTAACTGTCCTAGACATTGGACATAAACAGCTGCATTTGGAAATTGACAATGGAATGTATGAAAAGTTCAGTTTTGCCACTTGCTGCATTAAATGCAAAAACAATATTTCCTCAAATGGACATGATATTTTGAAAGTATTGAAGCTATGTTTGTATATTCTTAATCCTTTGACTAGTTCCCCCAGCTTTATAAAACATCCTGTGCAGGCATGCACTTGGTTAAGCATATTTTCAATTGAAATTAGGCTTTCCCAATATTATGATTTTCATTTCCTGGATAATTTCATGAGATGTGTCCCATACAACAGACTTTATTTCATCTCCTGTTGTAGTAGATCTATAATCTGTGGAAGTCAAAACGCTAAAACATTTGCTAATGAGGACTACCTTTATTATCACTTGACTTCTTTACTCTTTGAACTGTTACCTGAACAAACATGTAGTTCATGTTGTTTCTTTTCATTCTTATGTTTGTGATGCATGAAGAATAGAATAATTAAAAATATATTTCATGTACCCATGAGAGAGATCTTGAATCTAACACAGAAGTATTGAGTATAATTATGTGAGAGTAAGTCAAATTGATTCTCTGATTATGATGAAATGCAATTTGGGATTAGTGCAGTATTTTTATGATGTTAACAAATGTAAAACTTATGAGGTATATTTTCTATGAAATATCAAATAAATGTTTTTTGTAATTTTGAGCTCTGAAAGATGCACATCAATTTATTTAAAAAAATAAGAAATTGCTAGCATTATAATGATTTCCTGTGTGTGTGTGATTGCATAACAGTTTTAACGGGGAAATTGTGCAAGGAATTTAATCAAATGTGATTTGAAAGTTTGTGTTGAGTGTTTGATTATTGTGGTGTCTAATGATTTAACAATATCATTCCTTTGATAAATTTGTAATTAAAGTAGTTACCTGTGTTCTTATGTCTTAGTGACCATCAGCAATGATCTTAGTCATTCTTCTATCATAGGCCACATCTTAGGTTGAAGAGTTAGTTTTAATCAATGCAACCAACTTTTATCAGCTTTGGTCTTCCCCAGGTTCATCAGTATTTAAAAGCAGCTTGCATTTTCCTTAAGGAAAATTATAGAAAAGTATTACTATAAATTAGTATAATCATATTTAACTTTACAGACATTCCAGTACTTAATTTAATTTGCATTGTTTTTATGTTCATCTGTGTTTTCTCCATAACAGTATAAATGAAAATCATTATTATCATACACCGTAGTTAAGAAGTTGCCAACAAGTGTAATAATCAAATAGAGGGTAAAACATATTTTTTAAATCAAATTCATTTCTATTTTTGGAAAAATCGTTCATAAGGATGTGTGTGATTATATTTTGTAGATAAATGATCGTTATGGATGAATATATATTATTAAAAACAATAATGTACATGTTTGAACTGTCTTATTGTCAGAAAGCATTTGTAAACATCTGTGTGTGAGATTGTTGGTTCAAGTTGCGGAGTTGCTTTTGCACCAAGGGCATTTAAAATCACATATTACATTACGCATCATAACATCATCAAATACAATGCATAAAAACTACAAAAATAGTGATGTGATCAAGGGAGTTAAGAAGAATTTTTTTATTTAAAACAGTTCCTTTGAGAAATCAGTATATGTATTTCCGTTGTTGCTGACATGGTAACATACTATAACTAAACTCAAAATCAAAACATCTTATCAACAGTATGGTGTACAAAAAGGAAATATCAAACATTTGGTTCAATGATTTGTATTTTGTGATTTTTAATGGTAATTGATGTAGCTTTGCTATGAAGGGTAATTTCACTCAAATACATTTACCTCGTTTGGGGTGTTTTTTTTTAAACAATCAGAGAATTGAAGCAGGAGTGGATTCATGATTCTGTAAATTGGTGGGATTACAGTTATGAGAAATTGTGACAAGCAAGTAAAAGACTATAACAGAAAACAGAGTGGGCAACACTGTTTTCTTGTATCATTTGATAACTTGAACATTGAGGTCTTGTTGAAGGGCTTTTATGAGATGAATCTTGACACTTTGGATTTAAATCACGATTTTTAAGCAAAGTATACACAATTTAATTCTTCTGAGGGAAATGCAAAGTGAAAATATGATAATGATTTGAAATAACAACCTTATAAATTTCAAATAATCCGTGGATTTACACAAGTTTTACTGTCATATATATATATATATATATATATATATATATATATATATATATATATATATATATATATATATATATATATATATATAGTTAACAACTTCATTATTTATACACTTACCAAGTTTTGTAATTGTTTAAGTATGTGAAAATTCAGTGATTTGTCTCGGTTTATATGTTTCTTGAGAATGTGACAAAGTAAAGCTTACATCTAAAAGTATTCAAAAAAGGCCCTTACTCGACCAGTGCACCTTTCATTCTGAAGTTACGAAAAATGATATAAAATTAGAATACACATTTATGAGCGTATTTTGAAGAACATTCATAAATACAAAATTCCATGACCTGTGAGCGAAAGAGCGCCATCAGCGGTATGCAGCAGAAAAATGAGGAAGCCGCAAATCAGCTTCCCCCAATTTTGTTCACACAAATAACGTAATATTATGGATAAACTAGTAGTCTACTTTGGTAATGGGACTGTTGGGACATGACATATGCATTTACACATTTACATATAAAATATAAGAATAACGAAATGAGAAAAAAATCTAGAAAGAAAGAAGAAGAGACAGGAGAAGAAGAAAAAGAAGATATACCCCTAAAAAAAACCTAACAGCAGGTTTGATTATGATTATCTATAAATTTATATATATTCCATAACAACTTACAGAGGGTGTAAGTCCAATTATTATATTATCCCCACCCTTCCTCTGTTTATAACATTCCGGGATACGCCACTGGTTAAAGGCCCTTGCTCGATTTTGTAACAATATTTCTCTTTACAGAAACATCACAAATTTCGGACGAATGAGTAACTGTTAAAAATGGTCCAACTATGAAAACAAAACCATTGGCCCCAGCTGTCATTTTGGCTGCATTCATTAACAAAACGTTCTTTTTGTTGCTGAAGTACACAGTACAATGTTATCATGGTTATATAAAATAAATCATTAAAGTTGACCTTGCCCTAAGAGATCTGCCACAAAGTCTCTATCAAATAATTACAAGACTGTTTAATGAGCAGTAGGCCTACTAAGCCTCTATTCGGTGTTAATTAAAAAGATAATGAGAACCGTGACAAAATTATCTCGGAGAGTCCCCTTTGCATGAAACTCATTATGATACTCTGACTACGGCTTCCCTTATTCAGGGGATGATTTTCTTCTTCTTTGTTGCGGGCATTTGAAATCAATCGAGTAAACTATCTTGAGAAAAGCGGAAAGATTAAAAAGCAACTAATCCATTCCACATTAAACTTAATATTTGCTATTTTAAATCTCTAGAATTCGCAAATTTACATTTCTGTGAGGGTGCAAGGGATCCCGTCCCTATAATTTTTAAGTCAAGATTAAGATATTACATTGCAAACAAGACGTTGTACATCTAGAAGTAGACATGGGAGGGGCTTCATTCCTCCCGCCACTCTATAGAATAAGAAATATGGAGTTGTAAAATTCCCAGCTTATCCTACAAAAATCGAATTAGTTTAAAAGAGAAATAAAAGATAAGACTTTGTACAAACATTCCGGGTGGTATAGGCCAATGCATGGGATAGTGTGATCCCCCCCCCCCCCGAAAATGCCCCATTTTAATAAAAAAAACAAAAACAACAAGAACAACATCCTACAGTGTGTAAAACGTCGTTTTTTATTGATAAAATGGTTCTCACAATATGCATTTTGGCCGCCAAGGGTTCGGAATATTCCATGAAGATTTACAATATTTTGTCGATCAGTAATGTAAAAGAACTTGAGGTCCTCAAATTCACAAGTTTGCTCAGGCTGACAAAACCTTTTAAAAGTTTTATGACATAAAATTTGAGTGTGATAATTCCTGACAGCTCTTGTGCGCCCCTCCCTTCCAAAATGTGACACTTTCTTACTTTTTATTGCAAAAGATTAAGGTCAATAATAGTTGTAGCGTATGGGCGGCCTGTATGACTTAGAGTCCTTATCTTCTTTTCGATACTGGTTTTCCCAATTACTTAGCCCCATCATTTATATTTATTTTACTTATACTTTTGTTCTTCTAAAACGCACTATAAGGCACATGTATGATGATCCTCGCTCACTTACCCCCCCCCCCCCTCACCCTCTCTCTCTCTCTCTCCCCCCCCCCCCCCTCTCTCTCTCTCTCTCTCTCTCTCTTTCTCTCTCTTTCTCTCTCTTTCTCTCTCTTTTCTTTTTTGGTAATATTATAGGATGGGAGTGAATGGCTCCGTTGGTTTAGCATTTTATTATTATTATTATTATTTATCCGGTCAAACACAAAGAAAATCATTGAATACAAAACAAGAGTACATTTTGAAAAGAGTCGGGATGACGGTAAAGAAAAATATTAACTAAATAACTGTAACCCGAAGGTCTTCTTTTCCAATCCATGTGACTTTACAGAAATGGTAACAATAAAATGGTGAGGAATAACAGTTATGAATCACTGTGTAATCAACAATAGTCATAGACAAAATACAATTATTCAAAAAAAGCTTAACACTCCCCCCCCCCCCCACCCCAACAAGAAAGAGGGAAATGAAGCTTTGTGTACATGTATATAGCACTAGGAAGGAAAAAAAGATGAATACATGCACTCAAATCCGACATTTAATTAAAACAAATAAAAAGATCAACATCAGCTTGCTTCGTCCCGGTATCAGATCTGTGTCAATCAATTTGAATGCAAGTGATTTTTCTTCATCAATATCGATGTTCTATTAATTGATCATTGTAAATGTAATATTTTGACTTATTTTGAGCATAGGCATCGCTTGTTGTGCGTCTTGCTCTAACTTTAAAAAACTGAATCCTTGAAAGGCAAAAAAAGGGCGAGCAGAGTCGCAGATCCAGGTTTACTTAATATATTATGTAGGGGTGCCAACAAAATAGAGGGGTACACGCAATATAATCCTAGTATGCCTCAAACGTGCATGACAAAATGAATGGGGCACCTCCTCTCGATCAGCCACAGAGACGATGGGATACTAATAGCGAGTAATATAAGAAGTGCAAAATAATTTTTCAAATGAAAATATATACAGGGCATCTTAAGAACAAACTATTTAGCAGTGAAGGATGACAGTTCAGACATTTTAACAACAGACAACCACATACCCTCAATATTTGGAGGTACTCGTCAAAGGCGAGAAAAGGGAGCATGGGATTATAATGAGCGATATTTGGCAGGTTTTAAAACGTTTATCCTTGAACTTAGTTGGATTCTGTGCCAATCGTTATTGGTCCTATTAATATATTTCTGTAGGCCTATTTTTATTATAACAAATAATTTAATGTTGATAATCATTGATACCGGTCAAAATGAAGAAGAGAACTCCCATGGATTTTTTTTATTGGTTTTAATTATATATAAAACTAGCATATAGAAATAGATATCTCGCAATAGAGTGAAGTTAACGGCAGATTTTCAGTATGTACATTACAATCGAACTATACATGCATTAAAGACGTTAAATGGGAATAGTGATGTGTGATTTCGACACAAAATAGGGCCTAGTAATTTAGTTGGTCAGTTCTTCATGTATTTGTATATGAAAAATCATATATAATTATGTTGTCTTTAAAAATATATATTTGTTACTGGGCCCTAATATCAAGTAAATATAGAAGGCCCTTATTGGTTTCATCTTATGCTTTTTTTAGTGAGAATGACACTTTTTGTTGGCGGGGGGGGGGGGGGGGGGCCTGAGCGGCTAATTCAATTTAACGTCTTTAATGCGTATATAGTTCGATTGTAATGTACATATACTGAAAATCTGCCATTAACTTCACTCTATTGCGAGTTATCTATTTCTATATGCTAGTTTTTATAATAATTAAAACATTACAAAAAAACCTTGAGAGTTTTCTTCTTCACTTTGACTGGTTTCAATGATTATCAACATTGAACTATATATATATATATATATAATATTAACATGACCAATAATGATTGTACCAGAATATAACTAAGTTCAAGGATAAACGTTTAAAACCTTCCAAATATCGCTCACTACAATCCTATGCTCCCTTTTCTCGCCTTTCACGAGTACCTCAAAAATATTGAGGGTATATGGTTGTCTGTTGTTAAAATGTCTGAACTGTCATCCTTCACCTTCACTGCTAAATAGTTTGTTCTTTTAATGCCCTGAATAATTTGTTTTCAGAATGTCAGTGAAGACTACAGTTAATATAATCGAATTTGGGAACCAACTGTGTTTTCATTTGAATAAATTGTATAGTAAAAATATATTTGAAGGTCTTATTAAAAAAGATAAAAGCGTAATATGCCCGCTTTTGAGCATGTCGCGTGAAGCATATACGTCTTAAATCTCTTTCTATAGGTGTTTCGTATATCTTCTCGCCTAAATACTAATTCCCAGATGTCGTTGGGTTATTTTTGCACCCTATATCCATTTTCTTGAGAGTAAGGCTGAAATAATGGAAGCTAATAATAATTGATGCCCACTGTCGTCTGCTATGAGAAGGTTCCTCGCATAGAAATACAGCGATGTCATCAAGTGGGACTTTAATAGTAGACTCGTTCGGTACACACATCCAGATTACGTACGTGTGTATGATTCACCGTAAACTGAGCCCGTTGAGTAGGACGCTGGAAGTCAACAACACAGGCAAGGAGCTATTCTTCTTCATTCAGAAAATTTAAACGTGTAACTACAATGGAATTTCATGTACAAGTTCGCGGCTGATAGTTGTGAGTATAGATTTAATATGCCATTGAAATTATAATTCTTTATCGATTTACTATCTTTAGTAGCAGTTTAATTGCCTTTCTGATATATGCAGGGATGACTAAATTGCGAGCGCAGGCTGGCTGGTGCAGTTTGCAGGTGTGTAGCCTTGTATAGGATTGCATATACACAGACAGTGTAACGTGTACCCCCATCACTCAAATACTATACTAACTACTACTTTACACGATTTACCGGTAAGTTGTATTCTCAAGCAGAGATTATATTCTACATCTAAGGTGGTACTCGACAGGACCAATAGGTATATACGTCCATACTATTTATGTACTAAAAATACATTGTTTTCTCCCCCTGTGTTTTTGTAAATTGAATTAACTATTTATGCTTATACAATTCAGTTGTAATTCAGTTGTAATTGCTTGTGCAATTCAGTTGTGAAACTGCCATTAATGAAAGATGCAATAAGATACAATTTATCTATCTATCTATCTACTGACAAATGTGACAAAAAGTGAAGTATGCAGTCTTGAAATATCAGAAAAATGGAAGTTGATGCTAGAGGTTTTAGCTGATTCATACTGTATATATATTACTGAGTAATAAGATGTATTCATTGTATTGGTGTTATATATTTAATTCTCTGGTTAGTTACTCACTTACTGTACCTCAAGAATTGAATCACAAGATACCAATGTTTATATTGTACATAGTATTAGGCCTACAATAACAACACCAACAACATGCAGCAACACCAATAATAACATCAACAACAACAAAAACAATGAGAATGATAATAATAATAATAATAATGATAATGATAATAACGGTAATAATGATAATGATACTGATACTGAAATTGATAATGATAATGATGATGATAATGATAATGATGATGATAATGATAATGATAATATTATAATAATAATAATTATTATTATTATTATTATCATATTATTTTTATCTTCATATTATCGTCGTCAATATTATGATGATGATAATGCAATTGCAATTGATGATTGAAGTAATCAATTCTTTTTGTAGGCCTGTAAGAAAATTTAATGTAGATCTCTCTCTCTCTCTCTCTCTCTCTCTCTCTATTTCTTACAGAAAGAAACTATAGATTGAATTATGAAATTCTTTTGAAAAGTACATTTGTGCACACATTATAATGAATATGATTTATAATGGTGATAGCATTAATAACAATGAGAATAATAGACATAGTCGAACATGCATTCAAACACACATTCAAAACTGTAGAATTTACAATACTTAATAGATTCTAGCTTGTTTTTTATTGTATTGTTTGAGTCTTGATTTAATTATTACAATTGCCTGCATCCCGGGTGTTTGATAAAGAAATCATGTGTTTAGTAGGCCTATTTTTGTCTGTGCATGTGCATGATTCATTACATTATGTAGGATTGATTTCCTGTTTAATGAGAGAAGCAAAGAAAATGCATGTTGTGTTTAAAATAGCATGTTTCTTTTTTCTTTCCTTTTTAAAAATGGTACTGTATATATTCAAGTTGCCAACTTATAATGAAGGGTATTGATTGAAAATTGTCACAAATAATCCTATCTAGATAGAAATACATGTCCCCACATAAATAAATAAAGATAAAAATGAGCATAAATACTGGACCTTACTACTTCTGAGTTATAATTAAAGGCCATATAATAATTTTAAAGATATTGTAAAATAAGAAGCAAACAAACACAAACAAAATCAAGGTACATATCCATCATATACATTGTCCTACTTAGACAATTAGGGTGTTTCATACTCAAAGCATCTCTTTTTAGAAGTTACCAACTTGAACATTAGTATATAAATAATGAATGGTTATGAGTTCAATAGTGCGAATATTTTCATGAGTTGAAAGATTAACATTCTATTCAACGAGACGTCAGCCGAGTTGAATAGTATTAATGTTAATCTTTCAACTCTTTCAACGAATGAAAATATTTGCACTATTGAACGAATGAAAAATATTCATTATTCATTTTACACAACATCGAAAGAAGATCTAATGGAACCTTAATCAACAAATTATGCTTTACTCCTTATATTAAAGATAATTTAAAGTTGGAGTCGAGCCTTCTCGATTACATTCAGATTGCCTTCGCGTCAGATACACGCAGGGATACGCGCACGGCAGAGAGGCACGCAGTCTGCATATAACCAAAAATGCATGGCGAATATAACCATGCAATAGAACATCTATTGGATATCATGTGACCAACAATCCTCCGATCAAATGACAAGTATCCACGTAGGTGTTGTATAATATATATTATTTATAATTCAAAAGATTGTAATGCTAAAAAAAATCTATTAAACTGAAGAATGAAGTGAAGTTATGGTAAAAGACTACCGGTAAATTCAATGCATGTTTTTACATGTATGTCGTTGAGACTGGCCTGAATTATTAGAAGATAAAGATTAAAGGTAAAGACCAGTATTGGAAACGCCCCAATTTCAAAAAATGAAATGGAAGCTCTTATTATCAATCATGTGAAAGAATATATTTTGACTAATACATGATGATAAAAATTGTGCCGGGAAACCGCCTACTAATTGATATATTTGGTAAATTAGTTTATCTATTGGTATGTGAGAGATAAACGCACATGTCGCGCACGTGTGCATATAGTCCCATATACATCTTTCTGTGTACAGTGCTTGTAACTTTACGAAGACTGGGCCAAATTTCTAATCATTTTGATGATTCCAGAAGCACAACAATACTTATCAGTATGCTAGATGATCAACCTTTTCTGATCGATTTCACAACGTTTCTTTCACAATTAAATGCAATCGCATGACCATAACTGGTCTTTATCTTTAAGATACAAACTTCATAGTTTTGTGAAATGCGCAATTCCAAGGTCTATTCTGTAATGTAGGTGCTTTCCCAATGTAACATAGCTCTTGTAATTCTTCTAGACCACACAATCACATGTATAAAAGCACCTGTGATTGATGATGCTGGCATACATTACTGCTTCATGACTGCATGTGTAGTATAACCCAAGTACTATACCAGTATTAACTGTGTAGTAGAGCATCCTAGCCTGTATGTAGAGGCAGGATGTAGGTTAATTTTAGCTGCTTAGTGGAAATTACTACAGATTAACCTGGAAAAGAATTATCTAGGCAGTCATTGAAGAGTAATTTATTGAACCTGCTGTGATATTGGTATGCAAGGAATATGCTCATCTAGACAAATAAGTGATTGTGCCGTATAATGATGGGGGTCACTTGATCCAAATTATATTTGTCTTCACATTTGAAAAAAGTTGCTATGAAGTGGCTGACACCACACAAGTACAATGTACTTGTATGTAAACAAGGATGTTCATTCTAATGTGTAATGTGTATATATTGGCCTAATGTGATAATGGAATTAGCAGCTTTAGGTGTCCCTTTTCACATACATTCATCATAACACAAACTGGAAAATGCCTGTAGCCTTTATTATATTTATTGTACAAGCACAGCATACATGTATTTTGAGAAATGTAATCACAGCTACATGTAGGCTCTCTCCCTCAAATCCTCAGCGTGATTATGAATCTGTCATATACAATGTATAATGTACAAATTCGTTAGTTCATAGTAACACAGATGAAATGTTCCAAACCTTGCACATGAATGTAAATGGTGCGAGGGGTATTTAGGCAGGGTTTGTGAAAATTGAAAGAAAAAAAACCTATTAATTATCGTCATATAAACAATGTTAAACTTAAGAACCTTTAAGCACTTAAACTTCATGAAGCAACATGAATGTTTAAACACTTGGAATCAATCGAAATAGGAATCATATTATTATTATATGATCATTCATACGATTCATCCTTCTTAAAAAAAAACACAAAACAACTATTCCTTTTCTTAAATGTCAACTATGATGGGACAAATCAAAACTTTATTGGATGACTTTGAAGAGGGGAAGAGTTAAAATTGTGTAGGTGTACTCACAAGATGAATCGATGGAGAATTGTCCAAAATTACATTCTTTTGATTTATTCATAAAATTGCAATTTCAATTTCCAATTTCAACTGAACTTATAGTCAATTTATTTCTTCAAACAATCTGTTTATAAGCTACATGTATCCGATTCATGTTGGGAAGTTGTGATTTAATTGAGATAAAATGAAATTATGAATACTAAAAAAAATCAGTAATTGTTATTTACATGGAAGAAAAAAAATTATTCCACAATTGATTAAGGATGTATTTCTATCAAAATTATTGTGTCTTGAACTCGGAGACCCTGTAATAAAGTGAAAATGATGATACATTCTGTTTGACGTAATATAAACATTCTCTGATATGAATCATCACAGTAAACTAGTTTACCGATGACAGGGCTTGAGACTGGCATGATTTTGATACAAATTGAAAACAACATTTACCCCTGTGTTCATGTTTTTCTCCCCTTCATTCCTCTATGTCTTTGGTTTCTAAATATTCCCCATGCACCAGAGGGAGGAAATCAGCATGCCTATCACGGATGATTCAGCCTCCCGCGCCCTGGAACTAGTGGAGGACTTCAAGCAAGCTGCGCAATGTAATTCCCAACTCCAGGATGAGGTGCTAGAAACTATCCATGTCCTCAACTCCCACTTGAATAGACTCCTTGAGAAGCAAGGCGCAACCCGTTGGAAGCTCAGAGGTAGGGGTGTTCTCCCTGGCAGAATCACAGGAGGAGGAGGGTTAGCCACGGATGGAGCTCTGCAACAAGATGGGAGCAACGATAAAGACAGGGATGAGATTAAAATACTAAGCCTTGTGTCACCGCCTCAAACATTTGAGGAGCTGGGGATTGTGCTTCAGGTCGGCGGGGCTACACTCAAGCACGGGCAGCCTGAACTACTGGCTTCGGATCCTGTGAAACCCCATTCCAACAGTGGACAAATATTGGGAAATATCAGGCTGGCAGCTATCCTGCCAAACTTGTACATTCATAGTGATAATCAACTCCGAGTTGGTGATGAACTCTTGACTGTGAATACTCAACTCATTCAAAAGTGTTCCGTGGACCAAGCAAGGTGGGTGCATTATCTATTCCTTCACTTGTATACTAATATCTAGCTGTTTACAAAGGATATTCAGAAATTTGTATGTAAAATGTTTTAATCTCACAGTCACAGATCCAGCACTTGAAAAGTGCTTGGGCTACCATATTGAAAATGCTATCACTATTCAGCCTTTTGAAACGTTGTTTCAACACTTTTATGAGAGTGTAAATGTAATTTGTTTTAAAGAAGGATGGTTTATTTTAGCTAGTTTATTTTCATGAATCAACTGCAATTTCTTCAAAATCTTTTGCACAAATTTTGCATTTGTGACGAAGTGACTTGAACATCTACATACACATTCACATTTATATACAAAACGAGTTTGAGTTTTGATTATTGAAAAGTCATTGAAATTCTCTTTAGACATGCCTGTAGATTGCTTGATTTACGCAGTGAGTCATCATGTATGCCGAACATCTGCAGTGATATTTGCACAATGTGGTACATATTTGTTTTGATATTGTATACAGAAAGAAAAAATAAGATGAGGACAAAAATTAATCATAGTAATGTGTAATTTTGTGCCAACAAAACTGTTAGGACTTAAGGTTTTGTACCCTAGTCAAAATAAAGTAGTCTATAACTAGTTGAAAAAATAATGAAAAAAAGAGCAGAAAGTAGGTTTTCTTGAATATTTTCTACTCTGGATTTTTTTAGATTTATATTTTGTTCCAAATCCTTAGCCTTAAAAATATTTATTTTTGTGTCCATTTTCCATTTTAATCCATTAGGAAATAGAAAAAAAAAGTACCGGTATATTTTTCTAGGAAATACCATACAAATATAAAGAAAAAGGCCCTAAATTATTTTGTTCACATGTTAAAAAACAACCAGTGTACACTCACTACACATAGCCATAATAGATTACTCTGAAATCTACATGTAACAAATGATAATGTTGTTCTCTTGTGATAAAATGTCTAAAATTGACAGGTACAGGTATGTTCCTTATAAATGCCAGTTTCATAAGATAGAAGAGATGAAGAGAGAGAGAGATAGAGCACAAGCAATTAAGATGAAGACCCTCTTGTTTTGGACGTGATGCACTCTTTTGTGGTAATAGTTATCATGTTCTTTATGTAACCTTTATTCAAACTAACTGTAGTATCTCAAGGCAACCCAGGTATACTTATTATGTACTCACTACAGCCTTTATGAGAATTTTATAGTGTTTGATAGAAATGCATGTTTGAGCATCGAAATCTCGATAAAGAATCAGGGTCCTGATTATTCATATCTTACAAAAATCCTATATCAAGGTGGGGCTTATATCGTGAGCACGCAGTGATAATTGGCCAACTTTCATGTCTATTGACCTCTTCACAAAAAAATTCTTCATATATATATATATATATATATATATATATATATATACGCTTCTTTATATGATGTTATCTAGTCTGTACGTCCCTTTTACATGTACTACAGGTGTATAATACCATGATTCTTTATACAATGTTTCTCTATACATTTTTGGTATACATTTCTTCTTCTAACCTGAACAGGCTATGGGACTGCATAAGGTACAAACCAAATATATCACCTTTGCACCTCTCTGCTTATTTTCATAGGAAGTTGTGGATTAGATATCTGCCCTGACAATATTATTTTAACAAATAAAATAAAATTTAAAAATACATGTACTTGCAGGAAAGGTTGACTGCAGTATACTATAGCTCCATGCATGGTTTTGGCATTTATAATTGGATGTAACTTAATAATAGCAAATTATTTATCCATTTCTCTGAATCTATACCTAAAGCTGCTTAATATCAAGCACCTTGTAGATGTACTGTACATGTCGATCTAGTGATTGAAGAAGAAGAAAAAAAAAAGCTGTGAGAATTACAAGTCTTCAAAGAATCCTCCTCCCCTCCTGATTAATATGAAAATGTATAAACTGCTTGAAACAGATGTTACTTTCAACAGGGCTCCACATTACCTTCTTGGAAGGGGGTCCAGTATTACATTTTTAGAGTCTATGTATATGTATGAGTCCTATATTGGGTCCTCTGTAAATATCTTGAAATTTGGGGGTCCAATCCATACCGTACTTTGAATTTAAGCACACATGTGTCCTGGTTGCCTGCTATTGTTGAGTCCTGCTTTTTTATTTTGGTGGTGGTTATTTTACCTGACTATAAGTGTTAGAATCCAAGATATATCTCTACATTGAATATATATATATATATATGGCGAAACAGTCTGTATAACTCGTACCAATAAAGTGTAACCTTCCAACTCCTATATCTACATTTGCTCCTACAGTTGAGCACTGTCAGAAATTGCAGTTTCACTAAACTTGCTTATATATATATATATATATAAAAAACATTAAACATGATAATTTTACTCGAAATGGAGGTAGACAGCCAAGTTTTGGAGTTTGAAGTCTGAAAATAGACTGCAGGATATAAAGGGTATATGTTAAAGAAGGGAATGTACTGCTGTCAGGATGAGAGAGAGAGAGAGAAAGAGAGACAGACATACATAGGGAGAGAGAGAGATAGACAGAGGGAGAGAGAGGCCTCAAAGACAAGAAAGAAACTGCGGTTGAGTCAAAGTCACTGCCAGTTTCCTGTAAACTGAACCATCAAGATCACATTCCATTGTTCCCTTTATTGCCACTTTGGCTCTTTGAGTTTCGATAGCTAAACAATTTGATGTTAATATTGAATTGTTGAACAGTTGGGGGATTCAACAATAAAAACAAATTAAATTTCCTTGGGTATTGCAATAAAAGTTATGTGTAGTTCAATGTGTACAATGGAATGAATTGTTAATGAAGGGAAATGGACTGAAATAAACATGGAAGTCCATTGTGTCAAAGATTTGTCACCCTATTAATACAGGACTTACAGGGAAATTCCTTCTTGATAGTAAACTACTCTTGAGGAAAGCAGAAAAATCAGAGAAGTAGACTGGTGAAAGTTTGAATGAAATCCGACAAAATGAGAAAATTTATAATCACTCTAGGTATATGAGCTCTTCAAATTGACTGAATCAGTATTGTCTCTGTGACGTAGTGTTGGACAACTTTCCCATCTGTTCCAACACACAAAATGACTATAATTTCAATTTTTCAATAAGTTATGACTCTGGAAGGTCTTCTCTTTAGAGGACTTGTAATGATATGCTATCCATGATATATATTGAGTAGTGACCCAAGGGAGAAGGTACTCGGAAGAAAAGCAGAAATTAATGATATTTTTGTACATGATGAATGGGAGAGTTATCTGCGACTATGTCACAATCCCCTGACCAAACTGCTAATTTGAAATCCCCATAAACTTTGTGGTCCCATATTTCAAACATACATAACTTTCTTGTTTTTGGTCCAATCTATTTCACACTTTTGCCATTCTTTTTATCTTATTTTTCTTCTATCATACAAATGAACTTAGTATAACGAGAGTTGGATTACCATAATTGATCCAAAAGCGTGGATGGGCTAGAAGTAGATACTGTATGTAAATTTGGGATATGCATGTAACTCTTGAAATTTATTTCTTAGACTTGGCTCTCTCGATTTTAATTGTTATCTGATATAATTATTATCACATTATAAGATGGAAATATGCAATTTTGAGAAATGCAGTTGTAGCAGTGAAATGTAGATATGCAGAACTTTACTACTTCAGTAAGATTTTTTGTTTCACCTTCTACTAGTAACGTTACCTGATTAGCTAGTGCTGAACAAGTACATACTGTATGTATGAGATACATGTAGATGGGCCTACAGCATGCGTGATGTCAGTAGAAATAAGAATCAAACATTTATTTTATTTCCAAATCCTGATATACATGTAGTCTGCAAGCACAGACCCTATTTTGACACTTTACCACAATTCCTAAAGCTTTGATCAGAGCCTACCTAGATATGTCAGTTTCTAGCTGTGTCAAACAAACAAAAAAGTACACAGCCTATGGTAGTCTCAAATTGCAGACGCTGTTGCGCACAATGGCCAACAAGGGTATGTGTCTGCAAACTGATATGCATGTACGCAGAATTATAATATTGGGCTAAAATCCCAAAGAATGATTTGTTGACTGCATTTGGATCTGTACCTTATCTCCAGGCTTTCTTATATAGTATTAGCCAATGGTAAGCCATTGTTGGATGAACGGGGTTGATAGGGGCAAGGCCTATAACGCTGAGCTTTATAGCTAGGGTCATAAGTCAGGCAGAGAAGCTCTCAAATATCAGATTTTTTGCTGTATCATGAAGAGTGCAACACAAGTATGGTTTGTCAGTCATGTTATTAGGATTAATGGTGACTGACTTCAACCGTAACGTATTATATTTACGAAATTCAGGATATGGTTGTGACACTGTATGTTTTTCTCTCTGTATATAACCATGTTGGCCTACATAGCATATCAGGTTAACATTATTATGACCCTTTCGTCATGTACCAGTCTACCAGACATGTGCAAGGTATTTCACCGCTTGTACTTACAGAAGATATCACTTCAAAGCAAGAAAAAAAAGTATTTTCAAAATTAAATCCTATAAAAAAATAAAATGAAGATAAATTCATGAAGGGTGATGTACAACAGACACAAAGATTCATCATTCATAATGCCTCATATGGGAGGGAAATCCACCCTGATATTATATGACTAAGAGAAACAGATTAGAGAAAGTGTGAGCAAAATCTGATCAAAAATAAAAGAAAGTTATGGATTTTGAAGTTGTAATCAATAAAACACAGATTGGCAACTCTGTGACATATCTTACAAGCTCCCTTTTCATTTGCTCTGTTAAAAAAATAAAAAAATAAGAAATTGTTATTTTCCCTCAAGAAATTTGTTAATCTTACATGCAACCTAAATATAATTATTGCAAATACGTTTCTCTACAACCCCTGAATGAAAAAGATCTATCCTGTCATCAATAATGAAGAAAATGAAAGTTTATGAAAATCTGTGTTTAAAAGAATTGTCCAGCTAATCCCAAATCAACTCCT